TTCACTGGCTTTGCATCTTTTCCTAAGTTGTATTTCAAAGCTGTTGTATACAGCAAACACAGACTCAAAGGAATCCATTTTTAAAATGGAATGAGGCAAAAATGTGATTCTTTATTGAACTAATTTGCACAGGCCCATCCAGAATCCTTTGCGGTAGTAACATCACTGCAAATTTGTGATTCCTTTTGGAAAAGCAAGTCTTAATGCTTGACTGGTGTGCAGATTTTTGTTTAACATTGTATTAACTATATATATGCTATATATCAGGAATGCTATAGTTAGGAAGGAAGCAAGACTCATTTAGAAATATCCACAATACACAAAAGGAAATGGAAATTCTTCTAAATTAAAAGGTGGATACTTGCCTGTATAATGATCTTCATAATAACTATAGCATTTCTTGGAACCTTTCTATTTAAACCATGGAAGGTAGCATGTTCCTTCTAGGCAGATTTTTAAATGGATCGGGTTTAGAACCAATGCTTATATAAAGGCATGTAAACTGTACTAATGTATTCACCATAATGGATGCATGAATTACACAGTCCATATAAGTATATTTCAGTAGATTAACTTTGAAAGAAAACCATAAGAAATCTGCAAATATATTGTCATTACAACGTCTTCCAGATGATTTTCAATTCCATATATTTTGGTACCAATGTTTTTCACTATGGTTTGTGTCTTATTTAATTATTATTTAATTAAAACCATGGTTTAGTATAGAATTATAGACAATGTCTAGGATGCCAGGTGCCATCGTGAACAGAAGTGCTAGGTGAAACCAGAATAATCAGCCTTCACATAAGGTAGCAAAACACCAACTCACCTGGGCAATTTAATAGCTAGTTCAATGTGACTCTATACCCACATTTGCCTTTTACACAGGACTTTAAATATTAATAATATAGGACAATCCATTTTTTAATTAATTCTATTATTACAATTTTCAAATATCTGATGATTACATCTTTCTTTTTAAAAACATTTATTTTTTATACTTTCTGGATATCTAAAATACATTATAGAAAAACAAATACCTCAAAGATAATGTATACCAAAACATCCAGCTGGTTGTAATATCCTGTCTTTACAAAACAAAATCATCATAAAAGAAGGCAGATGTTTGGAGCAATCTCTAGTGCAATTTCAGAATATCATTGTTTTCTGTTAAAGAAAAAAGAAATGAAATGCAATTAAAAGACTGAGCTAAATAGTCGTTATTGGACCCAATAAAAATTGGCATTATTTTTGGATTTCACTGCTCGACACATGAAGCATTTTTGCAAATATAATAACAATCAACTATAATTCAAGTTAAGAATTCAGCAAACAAGTAGTGAAACATAATATTGAGGATTAGCCTTTGACCAGAATGACACTGTGTTCTTTATGAAAGATACAGATGTGAATTCTATTAAGGTTTTTATACATTTATAATCCCAAACTCTCTCCAAAACTCCAATGAAGTCTTTTAAATAATGACATTTTTAGGACCACAAAAGCAGATAAAAAAAAAAATGTTGTAGGGCTACTATTTCATTTATGGTTTTAACCTTTGTATTATAGATTGTTACAGAGCAGGCATTAGTTCCTGAGGCACCAATGGCCAGTGCCCCTACTCATCTATTGCAAATGCGGGCTAATATAGTGTAAATACATCATAGGCAGCTAAATATGATGCTTGATCAACAGCATCACTGTAGATTGAGATTCCAGCTGATCTTTACTAATCAGTCCTCACTGCAACTTGTGAATGTTGCAGGGACATTAATACTAGTAGGGATTGTCACCAGTGATGTGTTGAGACCCGTAACAGATTCCGTAACGCTTTATATTTCTGCATTTAATAATAAACTACCCTCTGCTATGAAACTGTTTTGCACTATATTTACAAATGTATATTAATTTCTACACTACACAGATAACATCAGGAGATTAATAAAAAGTCACGGTGTTTCTGCATATATTTATCACAATCTCAATTAAAGGGTTTTACTTGAAAACAAAACTTTCATATATTTGTCATTACAAACGTTATTCTTTTAATTTCAAAAGAGTGATAATTCCATAGTGGATCATACATGGCCAGCTGTTCAGAACCCTTTTGCATCATACAGATGTGTTGGTAGGACACATTACCTTCCACAGTACAATGACTGTGGTGTGGAAAATACAGATAAATGTGTTAAAGTTATATTATAGTGTAAGGAATACAAATTATAGATGTGCACAGAACAAATTTTCAGTTCTAATGCTAATCTAAAAAAAAATATTGGTAAATTAAAATTCTGACATACAGATTTTTGGTTCGACGGAAATTCTGTAAAAGATTAGTTAATTACCAAATTTTGGTTGACTATTAATCTCTGTGTGAAAATAGTTGCCCTTTATGCTGGCAATTGCCCTGTGGCTGGTGGGGGCTGTGGTGTATTACCAAACTCTATAAATTATTATGTACACATACACATATAAACTCTGGTCCGTCTACTTTAACAAATATTTATTCAGAGACAAAACAACAACAACATACAAATAATGACACACAATCTAACTAACTATACCAACAACAACAGCAACAACAACCTAACTAACAATAACAACTACATCTTATAAAATCACCAGATCCCACTCACAGTTCACCATGATGGAAATTAGGCCATGTCTGCTTAAAGGACTGCTCAGTAGCACAGCCAAGAAGGAACAGAGAGGAATGGAGATAGGGGGAAGTGGTTATCTCTTTCCTGACTAGTAAAGGTATTGAATTACCAATTAACATTTCAAAAGGGTAAAGCTTATCCCACTGTAAGAGCTTGGTCACATGATCCCTGGTCACCATATTAGTTTGATGACAGAATGTCACCACATTCCCTCACTTTTTTTTCTCTTATGTTGAGCACATTTAAAAGTGAGAGAATATAGTCAAACAGGGGTTGCATCACCCCACATTCCCCCAATTTCAATTGTTTTCAGTTGTTCCGTTTTTAAATTAACCACTGCCCAAGTGGGTTGGTAAGAACCCTGGTAGTTGTTCATTAATATTATATGGTAATGTGTTCATTTGAAGTAGTAATATCTAGACGCAATCAACCCCATACAGTAATTATCACTAGTTTATGACATTTCGCCTGGGACTGGAATCTGAAGACTGTGACTGATCTGTGTGCTTGATAGCTGTGATTTTAGAATGAACTCTCCTTGAATATTGTCTTTGCCAATCCATTACAAAGCTTGAGGTTTGTAGGTTTAATGACACATGCAAGTTCATGAGTGTAGGGTAAACTCATTCTGTGACCACCTTGAAATGACACAAATTCCTGCTTCTTGCTGTTACTTTACCCTTATTCTGGGCTGTGTTAATAGTTTGACTTGGTAATCTCAGCACTTCTTCATCTGTATAGTATCCATTTTCAGGATAATAGTTTGACGTGTAATCCCAGCACCTCTTCATCTGAATAGTAATCATTTTCAGGATAATAGTTTGTCTTGGTAATCCCAGCACTTCTTCATCTATATAGTAAACTGTGACAGGACATGTCAGTTACCTTCGCCTCTCTGGGCCTTCCAATTAAAATGTTCTTTGAATCAAACACAGACAATGAAATATGTACAACAGTAATCAGCATATTGTCTTGGGTCAAAGGCTTAACTAGTTTTGTCTAATAAAATCTATTTGGTTGTGGTGTCTTAAGGCTATGTTTACATTTTAGAGGTATTTAAAAGACCCACAAATGTCTCCTGAAATTTTGATTAATTTAGACATTTACTCCACACCTGATGGAGAGTTGAACACAAAACCATATTAGTTATTTTATAATTTACTGATGAATACATGCAATAATCACAAAATGTACATAGTTTAAACCGTAAATTATTATACATGAACGTGAGTGGGAAAGATCTAAGGGTGAAAAATGTATTCGCAATTGAACGTAGGTGCAAATTCTCATACCCATAACTATTTAACCCCCTGCGGATAGCCAAATAGAACAAATAGCATACATTTTCACTTTATTATTTATGCCATCTTCACTCAAAGCAATCTAATTTCCCTATATTCTTAATGACAAAAATAAACAAAGCATCAAAGATGGAGAGAGAAGAAAAAAAAAGTAGATTGAATGCTACCATTACACAGTTTGGCAGCGTGCAATCTATAGAAAACTGTCTGTTGCTATTCAAAAATCAAAATCAAAAATCAACTTGAGGTTATATTTGTTGGGAACCAAATTAAAAAAAAAAAAATGCTTTTAAAGTTTTTACTGTTGTAAACCAACAGAAAGTTACACTATCACATCTCTCCAGTGTGATCAAATATAAGCCTCACGTTGGCAACAATTCACTTAATCTATGAATTTATAATTATTAATCCAGCATCAAAAAATAAAACATAGCTGGCAGTGCAGGCGTGCTAAACTAATAAAAACAAAAATTATTTGGAATTTGGCCCACCTGACTGTAATGAATGAATTTAGAGGCTTATCCTTAGTATGACTAAAAATATATATATATATATATATATATATATATATATATATATATATATAACAATACATACTAAGGTCCTCTTTAAACTGGAGTGTTACGAGATAATGGTGAGACAGATAAAATATAGAAACAAAAGAAAAAACAAACATACATACAGATGTAGAGGACAACAAAAATTATGGGAGTTATTCATTGCTGGGGACCCCCAATTGATCAGTATTTCCCTCTCTCATCTGTTCCCTAAGCGCTTTCACGTCTGCCTCCAATCTCTCAGTCTGTCTCTTTAGGTCCCAGTAGTCTCTATTCCCTTCTTTATTCCTCCAATTATCCCAATTCCGTCTATTGGTCTGATCATCCCATCTATGGTTCCTTTTCCAATTATTCTCCCAATAACTGTTCCTGTTGTTTCTCTGTTTTTCTTGCCATCTGTGATTTTCCCAGTTATCTCTCCTTTTTAGCTTCTCCCAGGTGTTGTTATTATTATTCCAATTATTATTGATTACCTTAGGCTCCTCCCATCTATTTTTCCAATTATCTCCCATTACATTACTTCCTTTAGAACTGTCCCTATTCCTATGGTCCCTCTGTGGATCTCTCCATCTTTTGTCAAAGTCCTGTTTTGGTCTCCAGTTCTCATTATCCCTCTTGTTCTGAGGTACATCCCACCTTCTCCATTTGCCATCTAAATCTCTACCAGAGTCAACCTTGAATGTTCTTATGGCTGAAACAGATAAGGCCTGTTCTGAGGAAGGATGCTTAAGCCACCAATTATCAGCTCTAGTTAGTAGCATTTCTAAGTCTGCTGGTGTTGGATCAAAAAGCCTGACAAATTCTTGACACTCCCAGGGAAGGGCTTCCATTACTTTAGCAATGTGTTCTGGTGAGCCCAACACCAGGGGCTGTTGAGGTTGGCGTAGTGTATACCAGAACAATATCCTTTGAGCTACCTCTCTAGGACCATCTGCTGGCCTCATCGTAATATTCGCTATTTCTTTCTCTATGCTGAGTATATAGAAATTAGTTTCAGCAATTCTTCCTGCCTGATCAGACACACTGTTATTGAATCCCAATAGTCTACTAGCCAAAGGACCCATAGCATATTCTAAAAGTTCGGTCCATTCCTCTAAGTTAAAACCTCCTTTTTTAGCTCTATTTGCTCCCCTCATAAACCAGTGTGTAAAAGTATTAAAGTTGTTATTTGGCATACTTCCCCACCATTTCTGGAAATTTTCTTTGTCTGTGATTGACATAGTGCTTGTCTGTCTAGAGAAACTAGTAGGCATTTCTCTTGCATTAAAGTGTTCAGTTATTATTAAAGGGGCTTGTGGGACACAGTTAACAACTGGCGCATTTCCCTTGTGTTTGGTTCCGAGCACTGGTTCTGTACCTTTAGATATAAAATGAGACTGGCCTGGGCATACTTTAGGAATCTCCTTATCCCATTTATTTATGTTTTCTTTAGTTTTCATTTTATATTCCATAACTAGGTTTTGGAGTTCAGTGATCTTAGCACTATATGCATCTCTCTGTTGTTCTATTTCCTTTAATTCTTTCTCCAACCCCTCGATCATTTTGTTTGTTCTTAGGGCAGCTATTTTAAAACAATCTCTTTCATCAAGAGCATCTTCCATTTTATTAGTAGTTACTAAATTAGCTTGCTGCAATTCGAGTACCATGCTTGCCAACCCCCCTATTGCAGCAACAACCGCTTGTGCCACCAAGCTTTTCCTTTTCTTAATATGGCATTTTTTATTAGTAACAATCTGTGTCAAAACATCCATGAAACCTTCATATTTTCCACAATAGGGGCCTGCTGGTTCTGGAAGCTCATATGGTCCATCATGTTTGTCAATGTCATTCTTAAAGTACTCTAGTACTTCTGCAGAAAAATACTTAGTACCTAGATATGACATTTTAAAACCGAGCTCTCCCTAGGTCTTTAATCAAAATAGACCAGCAGACTAAGGAAAAAAAAACAACACGCTTTTAACAATGGGATTAATTTAAAAAAACTGAAACTGGCTCCAAAGAGATTGAACCATTTGAGAAACTTAATTACATTAACCTATTCAAACAAACTCTTGTCTTTTAAGAAAAAAAAACTTCACAGTCTCAATACAACAAATGCCCAGAGGCAGCAAAACACAAAACCACCCTTTTGCCTTTGTTTAAGTGCAGTGTGGGGGGTCTACAAATAAACAGAATGATTTAAAGGAAGGTATGGGAACTGAAAAATACCTGACTGTAACTTCAGCACAATGATAATTCCCAACCATATAACAATCTAACATAGGCACCTTTACCTCAAATACAAACTGTTCATTCTCTATTAAACACACAGTGTAAAAATTTAAATTTTAGCCTGGCTAAACAATAGCCACCACACTGTATTAGCCCCAATACCTTTATCATGTAAACACAATGCTCCTACCCAGAATTCAATGGTTCAAACAGACAAAAGATAACCCACCAAAAAAAACAGTTTGCTATTTAAACTTAGAATGCAGGGAAGCCACAAAATGTACAAAATGTAACATCTAAAAACAATTACAATATATTCAGTTTAGTTCTAGTTAGATGCAACAGGAGAGAGACAATACAGCACATGGGCTATTAAAAATGGCCGAAACATCAATAGTACCAATGCAGTGCAACTATTCAATCTTCCCCTTTAATCACCAATACTTTAAAACTGTGCATAAACAAAATTAAACTATAAATGCTACAATTTGCAACAAAATACGTTCTGTCAGTCATAATGCACAAACATTATGCTCCTATCCTGAATTCAATGATTCAAACAGACAAAAGATAACAACAAAAAACGTTTGCTATTTTAACTTAGAATGCAGTGAAGCCCCACAATTTAACACCTAAGAAGACAATTAAAATAGATTAAGTTTCATTCTAGTTAGTTGCAACAAGAGAGACAATACAGCGCATGGGCAATTAAAAATGGCCAAAACATCAAAGGTTCCAATGCAATTCAATTTTCCCCTTTTATCACCAATACTTTAAAACTGTACAGAAACAAAGTTAAACCTATAAATGCTACAATTTGCATCAAAATATGTTCTGTCAGTCACAATACACAAATTCAAAACAGTCAACAAAACAAATATGTATATTTGTTTCAACAAAATGAATCCTATGCTATAAAGTCTCTTTCTCTTAGATTATGTATCAATATGGTAGTTATTGCGCCTCACAAACATTTGTTGTAGAAGTCTAAAATTCGTGGTCGCCAAATGTGGTGTATTACCAAATTCTATAAATTATTATGTACGCATACACATATAAACTCTGGTCCGTCTACTTTAACAAATATTTATTCAGAGACAAAACAACAACAACATACAAATAATGACACACAATCTAACTAACTATACCACCAACAACAGCAACAACAACCTAACTAACAATAACAACTACATCTTATAAAATCCCACTCACAGTTCACCATGATAGAAATAAGGCCATGTCTGCTTAAAGGACTGCTCAGTAGCACAGCCAAGAAGGAACAGGGAGGAATGGAGATAGGGGGAAGTGGTTATCTCTTTCCTGACTAGTAAAGGTATTGAATTACCAATTAACATTTCAAAAGGGTAAAGCTTATCCCACTGTAAGAGCTTGGTCACATGATCCCTGGTCACCATATTAGTTTGATGACAGAATGTCACCACAACTATATTAATAGAAATGACAATGGCAAAGTATATGGTGCAAACCTGATGAAGGATATAACCACCTAAGAACAGGAAAAAAAGTTACTGCAATGAAGCATAAAAGCCAACTAGACATGATAGAGAATGCAGCCACAGCAAACAGGGTGGGACAATACTCGTCTCTGTGTCTTGCATAAAATCATGACTTTTCATCATAAAATAGCAAAATCATGTAATTTTATTTCAAGACACGGAGGCTCATATTGTGCAAGTTCAAAGCTGTGCCACCACAGGTGAAAAAATGTGACATATAGGCCTGAAGTAGATCTCTCGAAAGGTAGACTTCCATGACCAATCAGCTTATCGCATCAAATCCTCTAGTCGACCCTCAGGGATACTACCTTCGAGGCAGACATTCCTCAAACAGAGTGGGCACCGAAATGGGATACATCGACCCCTGCGGAGGACAATATCCATTTGACCCATCAGGCCAAAGTGGGGCTAGATACAGGATGAAAGGGGTGTCGCAAGGTGAGGAAGAAGTGAACAATCCCGGGAAGCCGGTAGGAGGCAGTTCTGCTTTCGTACTCCTGAAGGCAGGAAACCAGGCATAAGTGCGGTCGATCAGGAAACGCAGGGTAAACCACTGACCGACAGGAGGACTTCGTTCGTCGAGTAATATCAAACACAACACCATCTGGGGTGAAAGCACGGGCATCCGAGTCCAGAGCCCTGATGTCAAAATCCCATTTGCAAGACACAAGGCAAAATAGAGTAACCAGTTTAGCCGAGATCTGCCGAAGCAAGAGATCAGCATTTGGAGGTCAGGATTCGAACAACATGAGGACGCAAGACACGTCCCAAGTGCAGCTATACTTGGCACAGGGAGGCCAAAAGAAGGGGGTCACCTCGGAGGAGTCAGCAAATCATGGGATGTTTGTAAGCCATTGGTAATCCATTGAAGTCCACATGAGTGAAAGAAATGGCAGATCTGTACACGTTTAGCGTGCAATATGCCCGACCTGAATCGTACATCGATGAGAGAAACTGAAGTATCTCAGTCATGGGATCCACATCCTGAGCCACGCACCAGCCAGCCCAGATGCACAAGGCTGAGCGGTAAGTGGCGCCTAGCTGAATCCACAAGTCCCAGGATATCCCAAGGTCCCCGGAAATCAGCCACACTATGAGGAGGAGCCAACCCTCATTCACCAGGTGGTGAGGACGACCATCTGGGTCTAAAAGGAACCTTTGGTCAGGTGAGAGCTGCCTGGGGAAATCAATGGCTAACTCCAAAACCTGGTGGAACCAAGGCTGAGCTGGCCAAAATGACGACACGAGAACGATCGTCACTCGCTGACGAAGAACTTGGGGAAGAGGAATTCTGGGCAGCATGGAGAACAGAGAGAAAGCATAATTGTGATGTCCATACCAGTCCTGGAGGAAGGCGTCCAAAGCCATCAACTCCGGGTACGGTCAGCAACTGAAGAACAGGTACAATTGCCGGTTCAGTCGGGATGCGAACAAGTCCAGATAGAGTGGATCCCACAGCTAGAGAATGGAGATAAAGACAAAGGAGTTGAGTCGCCAATCGCTGGGGTCTGATAGGAAACAGGAGTTCCAGTCGGCCGTGACGTTGGTTAGGCCAGGCATGTATTCCTTCCACACTTTGATATTCCTGGCCAAGCAGAAATCCCAAAACTTTTGTGCCAAAGTAGCTAAGACCGCTGAATGGGTCTCGCCCAGGTGATTGATGTATCGGACAGTTGATACATTGTCCATGTGGAGTTGGACACAGATATTGGCATAACCACCTGAAAAGCCTGCCAGCAGTTCCAAGCAGTTGATGTGCAAATGGGATTATTTGGGAGACGGGTCTGCAACGGGTTCCCCAGCTGTGAAGACTCGCAACCGACTCTATAGACACCTTCAGCTGCAGGCTGAAGACGGCTCTGCCATTCCAGATGTCCAGATTGTGGATCTCTCTCCTGATGGAGTGAACTTTGGTGGCAGGTAGATTCAAGATCTCATCGATCAAGTTGATCAAGAATCCCAGAAACTCCATCTTTCTTGTGGGGGTCAATTGTGAGGAAACC